TTTGTGCTACTATTATTATTGCTATACTATTCTATTATAATTAGTATATTTATTATTATTGTATAATATTATGATGTGTCTATATTAGTGCATTTATGTGGTTGTTATGGATGTCATTATTATTTATAATTATCGAAATTGTAATTTCTCTTATAGGCATCATTACATCACGACCCATAATTTATTACTGGAAAGGAGATAAATGAATCCTGGTTATTGTTTTGGTGCTGACGGTAGCCAGAGAATATAATTTGAGCATGTTCACAGAACTCAAAGTACAGGGAAGGCAGGGGGGCTCTGCTGCTGGAGGAACCCTCTGGCAAAAGACCCCACTGTCTCCTTTTAATGCACAGAATAGGACACGCCCAGATCTGCTGTTCACAGACTGCTCCCTCTGGAGGCAGATCTGTGGACGCAGAGACTCCCTTTGCAAATAACACACATTCAAAATAAAAGCTTGCTCCCATCAGCACCAATGATCAAATTTAACTCACAAATATCACTAGTAATTATTATATTTAATATTAAATATACAATATTTTATTATTTTATAATAGTTAAAATGGGTATGTTTACCTCTGGGTACTTGGACATTGGCTGCGGGGTACCACAGGGATCGGTTTTAGGTCCAAAATTATTCAATTTGTACATCAATTATATATTTAGTGTCTCCAAGTTACTGAAACTAGTTATATTTGCAGTTGACACCAATGTTTTTTATTCAAATGACAGTTATGTTAATTTAGTGTATATACCATTAACATGGAATTAGCCAAATTATAGACATGGATGGACTTTAACAAATTATCCATAAACTTAAACAAAACAAAGATTATGTTTTTCAGTAAATACAAAAGCAACATAGTTATACAAATACATGGGGTGGCTTTAGACACCGTAACAGAGATGAAATTCTTAGGAGTTACTATTGACAATACATTAAGCTGGAAACGACACATAAAACACATACAAGGCAAAGTCTCCAAAAGCATCTCGATCATTAATAAATCAAAATTCTTCCTAAATCATAAAGCATTACATTTATTATATTGTTCACTAGTTTTTCCATATTTAACATTCTGTGTAGAGGTTTGGGGCAATAACTACAAATGCTCAATTCATCCCCTGGTTGTATTTCAGAAACGCGCCATAAGAACAATTCATAAGGCAGGATATCTAGATCACACTCATACTTTATTTCTGCAGTCTAAAATAATCAAACTCACTGATCTAGTAGATTTTTATACAGCTCAACTTTTATTTAAAGCTAACAAAATGGTTTTGCCTTCAAATCTCAGAAACACTTTACTCACAGAGAAGGGTGTTATAATCTGAGGGGGTGTGGGAACTTTAAAATACATGCAGTGAGAACCACCAGGAATAGTTTGTGTGTATCTCTGTGTGTCTGTGTGTATCTGTGTGTATCTGTGTGTGTCTGTGTGTATCTGTATTACGAGCCACTAGGTTTTGAAGTCTAGAGAGTGTGACTCAGTAACACAAAAAGAACCGGGGGGTGGAACATAGACAGGAAACGGGGTCTAAAAAGTAACAAGGTTTATTTACATATAAATAAATGCACAAAAAGGTCACACGGGTGTGCAGCCGCAAGATCCAGGCCCAAGTGGAAGAGAGACTGGTCTGGAGCCAGGCTCTTTTTATGCCTCCCAGGTGATTAGCCCACAGGTGCATAGTGAGACGTCAGTGGGAGGGAGGTCTGAGGAGGCGGAGGCAAGGAGAAACAAAAACAAGGACCTGGTCCGTAACACCTCCCCCCATAAAAATAAACCCCCACCCAGCCAGAAAACATAACATGCCTGCATCTAACAAATCTGTACCCACACTCAGGGACTATTTGTGAAGTCCAAGTAGGAACAGGCATTTCCAATATAATGGAACTCAAGTAGGATAACTTAGAAATAGCCACTGCTGTACTAGCCACTACACATGTAGACAATAAGGATAAATCAGCAAAGTGACGAGATCTGTCAACAGCGTAAACACAGGGAGTCAGAAAAGGCTGAAAAGGATATGGGTGCCATCACCACCTGCGACCCAAGTGGTGATGTGTGTCCTCAGTCACGCGATAGGGCATCAGCCACAACATTGTCCTTCCCCCTCTTGTGCTGGATGCTGATGTTGTAGTCCTGAGCCAGCAGCGCCCACCGCATCAGACGTTGATTCTGGTTGAACATCTGGGACAGGAACACGAGGGGGTTGTGGTCTGTGAAGACAGTGACTGGGACACAAGTGGACCCAACATACACATTAAAATGCTGCAGAGCCAGCAGCATAGCCAGGGTCTCCTTCTCTACAGTGGAATAGTTCAGCTGGTGCTTTTTAAACTTTTTAGAGAAGTAGGACACAGGATGAGGAACACTAGCCTCGTCCTCCTGGAGCAAAACTGCACCTGCACCCATTGGCACTCGCATCCACCTCCAGGATGAAGGGCTTTGAGCAGTCTGGTGCAGAAAGTACCGGGGCACTGCACAAAAGTGACTTCGCTGCTTGGAAAGCTGCCTCACATTCTTCTGTCCAGGTGAAAGGGACAGAAGGGCTGCAGAGGGCAGTGAGTGGAGCAGCAAGGACAGAAAAGTTTTTGCAAAAACAGCGGTAATAGCCCGCCAGGCCCAAGAACCGCCGCAGTTCCCTCCGGGTTTTTGGAGGGGGGTAGGAGAGGACCGCCTCAACTTTAGCATCGATGGGACGCACTGAACCATGGCCTACAATCTTGCCCAGATATGTCACAGAGGCCTTACCAAAGTCACATTTTGCCAAGTTGAGGGTGAGGTTTGCTTTGGACAAACGTTCAAAAACTTCTTTCAGTACCGCGACGTGCTCGGACCAAGTGTCTGTGTATATCACAATATCGTCAAGGTACACATTGCAGTTAGGAACATTACTAAGCACGATGTGCATGAGGCGCTGGAAGGTGGCAGGTGCGTTCCTCATGCCAAAAGCCATCACAGTGTACTGCATGAAATGGTCAGGAGTAACGAAGGCAGATATATCTGATGCTCGGGATGTTAAAGGGACCTGCCAGTAGCCTTTTAGTAAGTCCAACTTTGTAATGTGCACCGCAGGACCAATGTTGTCTATACAATCCTCCATACGAGGGAGAGGAAAAGAGTCCGCCACAGTAACCCCATTTACCTTCCTGAAATCTGTGCAAAAACGGGGCGAGCCATCAGATTTAGGAGCCAGGAGACAAGGTGAACTCCAGGGGCTATGGCTAGGTACTGCAAGACCATTGTTTATCAAATAAGCTACCTCCCTCTTCATGGCCTCTCGTTTGGTCATCGGGCAGCGGTAGGCATGCTGCTTGATTGGTGAAGCGGAACCCACATCAATGTCATGCTCAAGGACTGAAGTACGAGATGGAGTGTCACCAAAGAGTGAGGGATAGGCCTGCAACAGATCAAAAATGTCACTGAACTGCTGCTCACTGAGATATGCCAGGTTGGTGCCTAAACTGGACAAAAACTCAGTTTGACAGCCGACCACACTGCCGGGCAACACATGGCTCCTCCAAGTCTTCCTCCAATGGGTCTGCAGACACTGGTGACACACAAGGCACAGTTAAAACAGACTGGGCCGGCTTCACGCTTTCCCTTGCATGGAAAGGCTTCAGCATATTGATATGACACAGACGAGTTTTCCTCCTCCTCCCAGGAGTGAGAATAAGGTAATTTGTGTCAGACACCTTTCTCTCAACCACATATGGACCAGAAAAACGAGCAGAAAGGGCTGAACCCACAGCAGGCAGTAACACTAAAACTTAATCGCCTGGCTCAAAAGTCCTGGCCACCGCCTTCACATCAAAACGACTCTTCATGCCAGCCTGTGAGGAGGAGAGCGCCGCTCTAGCTAAAGTAGTGGCATGACCCAACCGTCGTTTACATTTTGTTACAAAATCTATGACATCACCTTTAAGCTTCGACATTGACAAGAACTGCTCCTTCAGTACCTTGAGTGGTCCACGTATGCGGTGACCAAATACAAGTTCGGCCGGACTGAAACCTAGGGACTCTTGGGTGGCATCTCTGATTGCAAATAACATGAACGGAACGCCCTCATCCCAGTCCTTGCCAGTCTCAAAACAAAACTTGCTCAGCATGGACTTAAACGTTTGGTGCCATCTTTCCAATGCTCCCTGAGACTCCGGGTGGTATGCAGTGGACACAGAGTGGGACACACCGAATGACTGCAATGCCTCCTTGAACGCCTTGGACAGGAAGTTGGTTCCTTGGTCTGTCTGAAGGATCCGAGGAAGGCCAAAAGTGCTGAAGAACTTTGTCATCACCTTGACAACAGTAGGGGCAGTAATTCTGCGTAGTGGGATGGCCTCTGGGAAACGAGTGGCAACACACATTATAGTCAATAGGAACTGGTTACCAGCCTTTGTCTGAGGTAGAGGGCCAACACAGTCCATAATCACGTGCTCAAACGGTTCCCCAACAGCAGGCACGGGACGCAGCGGAGCCGGCGGCACCACCTGGTTTGGTTTCCCCACCGCTTGGCATGTAGTGCAGGTCCTACAGAACCTAGCAACATCAGCCTTCAGCCCTGGCCAAAAGAAATGTTGCAGATCACGGTTATAGGTTTTTGTCACACCGAGGTGGCCGGACCACACATGCTCATGCGCCAGAGATAGCACATGTTGTCTGTAACACTTGGGAACCACTATCTGGAAAACTGTACACCAGTCAGTGTCAGAGTGGTTACCTTCCTGGGGGACCCACTTCCGCATCAATACCCCCTTGTCAAGGAAAAATTGACTTTGGGCTGCTGGACTGTCTATAACAGAAAAACATTTAGTCAAGGTCACATCAGATTTTTGAGCTTCGATCAGCGCGTCACTTGTAAGCAGGGGAGACAAAGAGGGGCTGCAATCTGGCTCCTCACTGTCAGGCTGGGCCTTTGAGTCCTCCCCAGTTCGTCCACACGAGGGCGCACTAAGACCAGAGAAAACAGGAGCAAGCACAGAATCACCCAAATCAACCTCACTTTGCTCTCGCCATTTTAGACTGAGCGCGGGTCAGAACGCTCACAGAAAACACGTCAGGGTGTTTCTCAGCCAGCTCATCCACATCAGAGCTCAGGATAGGGCGAGTAACAACCTCAGGGGAGGGGTACACTTTGCCACCTGCAAGGTCATTCCCCATGATGAACTCCACCCCATCGATGGGGAACTGGTCCCGCACGGCCACAGGGAATACTCTACTAACAAGATTCGACTCAACATGGACATTGTGCAGCGGTGCTGGCACATAGCTAAGGCCGATGCCTTTCACTATAGTGCTCACATGACAGTCAGTCTGCAAACCCAGAGGCAGGACACCAGAGAGAATGAAAGACTGTGAGCCACCAGTGTCACGTAAGACTAACAGCGCGCTTAGCCGCTCCTGGAACTCCTGGAACTGACACAAAAGCTTCAAAAATGAATGGCTTAAAACAGTCATCACACTCTGGGACAATTGGACCGGCAGGCTGCACATCCTGACCACCAGGGACAGTCCTAGTCAGCGCGACGCCTTTTGGTTTGGGCGCAGGCTGTTTGCGCTTCCAAGAGTCACAATCCGCCACCAGATGGCCGGGTTTGTGACAGAAGTAACACTGCTTAGCCTTCTCTGGCCTAGAACTAGCTGCAGGACTAACGTTGGGCCTCTCCTCAGACTTTGGATAGGGCTCACGCTTAAAGACAGCCTTGTGAGTGAGCGAAAACTCTGCCAAAATAGCTGCTTGTTGAAGAGAGCTCACTTTTTGTTCATTTAAATAAACAACAACGCGCTCTGAGAGGCAGTTCTTAAACTCCTCTATGAGAAACAGCTCACCCAGAGACTCAAAAGTACTGGCCTTGCTCGCGGAGCACCATCTGTCAAATAACAGGCCCTTTTCACGCGCAGAATCCACATAACTCTGGTTGAATGACTTGCGGAGACCCCTAAATCGCTGTCTATAAGCTTCGGGCACCAGCTCATAGGCACGCAAAATAGCCCCCTTTAAACAGTCATAATTCAGACTGTCAGAGACAGACAAAGACGCACACGCTTCTGAGGCTTTTCCACTCAACTTGCACTGCAAAAGGATCGCCCACACGTCCCTAGGCCAGTGCAATGCCCCTGCAATGCGCTCAAACACTCCAAAATAAGACTCAACCTCCGTCTCACGGAAGGCTGGGACGAGCTGTATATTTTTAGTCACATCAAATGACTCGTGCGCACTGACAGGTGACAAGGGAGCTGGACCGCGACCCGCTGCATGCAATTCTAATTGCCGCATCTTTAACGCGGTGTCAGCCTCCAGCTTTCGAAACTCTACTTCCCGAGCAGTAGCAGCCTCTACCTCTATACGCCTCAACTCAATTTCACGTTTCAACTGAAACTCTCCCTCCTCTTTTTCCCTCTCGTGCTTCAGACGAGCAATGCGCACATCCACGCGTGCATCGCGAGGGGAGCGCAACCCTAAACCGGGAGACTTCTCCTCAGCCTCCTCAAACAGCGCCGCGGGAGAGCCCAGCTGCGGCTGCTCCACGCGCTCTACTCCAGGACGCACGGGGGACACCACTGCATCTCCCACTGCCGCTCCTGCCACTGGATCACTCGACACAGGCAATACCACAACCCCGTTGGCCACCAACTCTGCCAGTATAGCCTCCCTCAACTCACCCACACGTAACGCAGGGGACACAGGGATCGCATAGTGTCGCGCTATCTCCAGCAAATCTACTTTTCTACACAACTCCAACGCCACGTGCGTTGGCTCAGCCACAAATGCTTCCAAATCAAACGTAGCCATCACTCACCGGGCTGATCAGTTGATCCCACTCACAACTGGAACACCTGATGGCACCTTCCACTCGACCCGCCTCCTGGGAGGTGCCAAGCACGCGCCCGCACACAGCTGCGCTCAAAGCTTACGCACACACACACTCACACTCGCACACGGGTGAAAAGAGGTTATGCAGGGTGCCTTAACAAAACCAAATCAGTGCAAACACAGGTATTGACCCAGACTCCTACTCAGGAAAAACTTAACCTAAATATCTTCTGGGACTTGCCGGGCTCGAGGCGTGCAGCCCCCGTCAGAGAATCCACTCCGCCCAGGATTCGTCCCGAAAATAATAAACTAAAACAAAAAACGGATGCCCGAAGGAATGGCGAATAAATCAACCAAGCTGGACACCCCCCTAGTCTAGCTGGGTCAATTTGGAGTTGACTGCCACTGAATGTCACACGCACCCGCGACTCACCCAGAGCGCACGACTCCTGGTGCACCCACCGCAGTTCCACTGGATCCCGGACGAGCCCCCACGTATTACGAGCCACTAGGTGTTGAAGTCTAGAGAGTGTGACTCAGTAACACAAAAAGAACCGGGGGGTGGAACATAGACAGGAAACGGGGTCTAAAAAGTAGTGATGAGTCGTGCCGCGTCGGCGCTTCGGGGCGTGAGCCGAGAAATCCCTGAAGTTTTTATCGGAGCGCGGGCCGAAGCCTGAGTTGTTTTAGATGAGTGACGTCACCAATGACGTTTGAAGCCTCGGGAGCACAGGAAATGGAGCGATTCATGAAGTACTGCAGAAGATCCGCTCAAACTGTGTGTTTGTCTTGATGATTAATGTAGTCAGTGATGGAGAGGCTTGTGGACAAGCTGGTTGGCTCAATTGATAGGGAATCAGGGCTGGGACCTGGGAGACCGGGGTTCGAATCTCACCGGGAGTGCGTCGATGTAAATACACGAGAAAGAATTTTGTCAGAAATGTTTTGGTTTTGAAACAACTGATGGGGTCACAATCCCAAATGATATCCCCATTTGTGTCACGTCCTTTGAAAAGCACTTACACTTTCAACATGTTTTTTGTCCCATTGGATTTATAAATAAATATATTTTGACTTGAAAAGCTATAATCATTCATCATTAAATATGTATATAAATATATATCTACATATATGTATGTGTGTGTGTGTGTGTGTGTGTGTGTATTAGAGCAGACAACTGTACCAGTTACCAGTACATTATAATTGTATTGTCATTTAAAATATATTCCTTTTCACTACTGATAGTGATCATAATGAAACAGATGAATTAATGGGTCATACACAATCAAATTACATTTTTATTTCTGTTACCAGTATTAGTTCCTATGCACCAAGAGCCTCACAAACAGTTCAATTGTCAATACAGATTTTGACCAACAGGAGGTTTGTGAGCATATGAAGCATCAAGAAATGAACCTTTTCTCGAAACAATGGATGAAAAGGTTCAACACTTCATGAAGCTTCATCAACCCATCACTACTAAAAAGTAACGAGGTTTATTTACATATAAATAAATGCACAAAAAGGTCACACGGGTGTGCAGCCGCAGGATCCAGGCCCAAGTGGAAGAGAGGGACTGGTCTGGAGCCAGGCTCTTTTTATGCCTCCCAGGTGATTAGCCCACAGGTGCATAGTGAGACGTCAGTGGGAGGGAGGTCTGAGGAGGCGGAGGCAAGGAGAAACAAAAACAAGGACCTGGTCCGTAACAATCTGTGTGTCTCTGTGTGTGTCTGTGTGTATCTGTGTGTCTCTGTGTGTGTCTCTGTGTGTGTGTGTGTCTGTGTGTGTGTCTGTGTGTGTCAGTGTGTGTCTGTGTATCTCTGTGTGTGTCTGTGTGTGTCAGTGTGTGTCTGTGTGTGTCTGTGTGTGTCTGTGTGTGGAGTGAAACTTTGGAACAAATTGTGTGTCGAACTCAAGCAATGTCCAACTATCCATCTGTTCAAATCAGCATATAAAAAAATGGTATTTTCATCATACAGGAATGTGAGAACGGGGGTTTAAATTGTTATAATTCTAAAGCACTTGAAAGGGAAAATCTGATCTCATCAACAAAATCATATAAAGCCTGGTTCACACGAGACGATTTTAAAATTGTCGGCCGATTTTTCTCCGTGTAAGACCCCACACGGGGAGATTAAAAATCCTGCGTCTAACCACTTTGGTCGTGCAGTGTGTGGTGCGTAGCCACACGGCAAGATCACGCAAGCCACAAACATCACACACGAACCGACACCCCCCCCCCCGAGCATTCCCAGGTCAGACGGAAATCTCACAAAATCTCTCGAGATCAAGCGTGACTTCAGAGTAAACAGTCATGGCGGACGAAGAGGATGCAGTGGCGATAGTGTGCAGTTTGTTGTTAACAGAGAAGACACGTAATCCAAAGAAAAGGCAATGGTCAAAGCCATGCTGCTGTGTTTTGGTTTTTTTCCGGTGTTTCCTCACCGGCTTGTCACCTCGTCTTCTTATTGGCTACACGCCGTAGTCATGGCAACGCGCTCGCTTGTCCTCGGAGGACACCACACACGACAAGAAATCGGGCCAAAACAATCCAACATGTTGGATATCCCCGATTTGAGATCGGGAGCAGTCCCGATGTCCTTCCGAGCGACGAGTGCAGTCTTAACACACCACACACGGCAGGATAATCTGTAAGATTTTGTTATGGAAATCGGAGCGTTTCTTAAGATTGTCGTAAGGGGTAAATCGGGTCTAAATCGGCCTAAATATCCTGCCGTGTGAACCAGGCTTTATATGTGCTATTACCATTATTACTATACTTCTCTATTATAATTATTATATAACTATATATATTATATGTGCTATTATTACTATACTGTCCTATACTGTTACTATACTCTTCTAAGATTATTTTTATTGTATGATATTGTCTAATAATAATGATAATATGATGTGTCTATACTAGGGCCTTCCATCCATCCATCCATTTTCTTCCGCTTTATCCGTTGCCGGGTCGCGGGGGCAGCAGTCTAAGCAGAGACGTCCAGACTTCCCTATCGACACACACTTCCTCCAGCTCGTCCGGGGGGACCCCAAGGCGTTCCAAGGCCAGCTGGGAGACCCTAACCCTCCAGCGTGTCCTAGGTCTTCCCCGGGGCCTCCTCCCGGTGGGACGTGCCCGGAGCAGAAGGTGGGGAGGCATTCGGAACAGATGCCCGAGCCACCTCAACTGGTTCCTCTCGACGTGGAGAAGCAGCGGCTCTACTCCGAGCTCCTCTCGTGTGACTGAGCTCCTCACCCTATCTCTAAGGAAGCGCCCAGCCACTCTGCGGAGGAAGCTCATTTCGGCCGCTTGTATCTGCGATCTCGTTCTTTCGGTCATTACCCAAAGTTCATGACCATAGGTGAGGGAGGGAACGAAGATTGACCGGTAAATCGAAAGCTTTGCCTTTCGGCTTAGCTCCCTCTTCACCACAACTGTCCGATACAGCGACCGCATCACTGCGCACGCTGCACCGATCCGCCTGTCAATCTCACGCTCCATTCTTCCCTCACTCGTGAACAAGACCCCGAGATACAGGAACTCCTCCACTTGAGGAAGGACCCCTCCACCCACCTGTAGAGGGCAAGGCACCTTTTTCCGGTCGAGCACCATGGCCTTGGATTTGGAGGTGCTGATTCTCATCCCAGCCGCTTCACACTCGGCTGCAAACCGCCCCAGTGCATGCTGCAGGTCCTGGTTCGTTGAAGCCTCCAGGACAACATCGTCTGCAAACAGTAGAGATGAAATCCTGTGGTCTCCGAACCGGACCCCCTCCGACCCCTGGCTGCGCCTAGAAATTCTGTCCATAAATATAGTGAACAGAACCGGTGACAAAGGGCAGCCCTGTCGGAGGCCAACGTTCACCGGGAACAGGTCTGACTTACTGCCGGCAATGAGAACACAGCTCTGGCTCCGGTCATACAGGGATCGGATGGCCCTTGGCAGAGGACCTCCGACCCCGTACTCCCGGAAAACCCCCCAAAGGACACCCCGGGGAACACAGTCGAACGCCTTCTCCAAATCCACAAAGCACATGTGGACAGGTTGGGCGAACTCCCATGAACCCTCGAGTATCCGATGGAGAGTATAGAGCTGGTCCAGTGTTCCGTGATCGGGACAAAAACCACACTGCTCCTCCTGAATCCGAGATTCGACCATCGGCCGTAGCCTCCTCTCCAGTACCTTGGAGTAGACCTTACCGGGGAGGCTGAGGAGTGTGATCCCACGATAATTGGAACACACCCTCCTGTCCCCCTTCTTGTAGAGAGAGACCACCACCCCGGTCTGCCACTCCATTGGCACCGCCCTCCCATTGACACCGCCCCCGATCGCCACGCGATGTTGCAGAGACGTGTCAGCCAAGACAGTCCTACAACATCCAGAGACTTTAGATAATCAGGACGGATCTCATCCACACCTGGAGCCTTGCACCATGGAGGGTGCCAACCACCTTGGTGACCTCAGCCAGGGAGATGGATGTATCCGCCCCAACATCCTCAGCCTCTGCCTCTGTAACGGAAGACGTGACGGGGGGATTGAGGAGAACCTCAAAGTATTCCTTCCACCGCCCGACAATATCCCTAGTCGAGGTCAGCAGCTCTCCACCCGCACCGTACATGGTGTTGGCAAAAAACTGCTTTCCCCTCCTGAGGCGCCGGAGGGTTTGCCAGAATCTCTTCGAGGCCGACCGATAGTCATGCTCCATGGACTCTCCGAACTCCTCCAAGTCCCCGGTTTTTGCCTCTGCAACAGCCCAGGCCGGGGCACGCTTGGCCTGCCGGCACTGGACAGCTGCCTCAGGATCCCCCAAACCATCATGGCTCGATAAGACTCCTTCTTCAGCCTGACAGCATCCCTTACTGCCGGTGTCCACCACTGGGTTTGGGGGTTGCCGCCGGGACCAGCACCAGAGACCTTGCGACAACAGCTACGAGCACGAGAACATGCTCCACTCGGACTCCATGTCCCCCTCCTC